GGTAAACTTTCTTTACATACCAAAAATTCTCTTTGGAATTCTAGGTAAACTTTCTTTACATACCAAAAATTCTCTTTGGAATTTAAGGTAAACTTTCTTTATATACCAAAAATTCTCTTTGGAACTCTAGGTAAACTTTCTTTACATACCAAAAATTCTCTTTGGAACTCTAGGTAAACTTTCTTTACATACCAAAAATTCTCTTTGGAACTCTAGGTAAACTTTCTTTACATACCAAAAATTCTCTTTGGAATTCTAGGTAAACTTTCTTTACATACCAAAAATTCTCTTTGGAATTCAAGGTAAACTTTCTTTATATACCAAAAATTCTCTTTGGAATTCTAGGTAAACTTTCTTTATATACCAAAAATTCTCTTTGGAACTCTAGGTAAACTTTCTTTACATACCAAAAATTCTCTTTGGAATTCTAGGTAAACTTTCTTTATATACCAAAAATTCTCTTTGGAACTCTAGGTAAACTTTCTTTACATACCGAAAATTCTTTTTGGAACTCTAGGTAAACTTTCTTTACATACCAAAAATTCTCTTTGGAATTCTAGGTAAACTTTCTTTATATACCAAAAATTCTCTTCGCTGCTTTTGAGGTTTGCATTTTGCTGAATGTTCTGTTATGGAAAACCCTCATTTTTATGGTATTTAATCACTTTTAGTTATTTTTATCAGTTGTAGTCACTTTCACCCATTTGATCATTTTAAAATTGTGGAGAATACGTAAAAGGTGTAATGAACAGAATCCAAAGGGGAAAGTCGATAATATTAGATCAATCTAATATTATCGACTTTCCCCAGTTCCCAAAATTAAATCAGCGAGATTCTGATGTTAAATTAAATATTTCTCAATAGAACTTGATTATATATTTTAACGAATCTTCAAAATATTTTTTGCAAATCAAAGCAAAATTTAAATGAAAACATGACACAGATGAGTAACTGAAAAAAATCACAATTTTGAGATTAAGCAGTATTGTCCTGAAAGCATTTATAATGCAGACAAAATAAGTCTATAGCATAGCGCATAGCTCCAATATTTATTTAAAAGTGAAATTCAAGATTTTGTGCAATAGCGAAGGATCGTGTGACTGTTTCATGCTGCGTCAATTTTTGTGGTAAAAGTCTTTTTTTAGTAATCAGGAAAAAAAAGAGATCCTTTAAAAGAGTTACCTAATTGACAATACATATAATTCAAAATGTGGATAATGTAACGTCATTTTGCGTTTCTGCAGCTGAGGATGGTGGTTCAGTAAAACCATCAAAACTAGTCCTGTGAAAATTTGAAAATATAACGCTGATTTTTGTTGTTTGACTTCTGAATTAGTATTTTAGAAGCTGTTAGGAAAGTGGTTCAGAAATTAATGGAAGTCAATCTTAAGTTAAATTCTGCCAAATGTAAACTGATAGAAATATAATGCTGCCCAAATGTTAATTTTACTGCTTTCTATGGGTAATTTTTAACAGGGAAGGACATTAACTTTCCCTCAGGAGGTGGGAATTCGTTTTTCCAGCGCGGTCTTCGTGAAATCAAATATTTTCACTAAATGTTTGTTCCTTGGGATTGACACTAATAGTTTAGCTAAAACATTCACATTGAAGGAATTACTGCAATTTTAAATCAGATACACACACCTAGCTCACTTTGTATACAAATCGCTGTAAATATAGCACAAACAGCTAGCTCGTTAAGTAAGCATTGAATTATACGCTTTCAAACACTGGGATTTATATTTTGTAGACAACGTGCTAAAATCACAAATCTGGAATTTTTTTGTTTCGGCGGAAAAAAAATATTGGGCTCGTATATGATTTGAGAAAAATCAAACTGTAACCACTAAATAAGTAATTTTGATATAAGCTTCTCAAATATACGTCTATTAGTTTTAGTGTGATACAAAATAACGAACAATAGAATCACAAATATAAACAGCAGAAGGGGTAGATACGAAATTTTAGCGTGATGTCAATAACTTCTAAACCAGTAGTACAAACAACGCTATTATGTAGATTAAGATCTTCAATAAAAATGGCTATTTTTACATGTATTACATTCTGCACACAGTTTTCTTCATTAAGTTCCACGTTTTAAAAATTAAAAACGGGATCGCCACAGCATTATAATCATGTAGCGTTATTCGTAAATCACCAAGATCTACTTTTTGTGGAAAACAGCATTTTCTCACATTTGAAAAGTCTCTAAAAACTTAAATTTCAGGCAGATAGCCTTAGGCTGCTTTGCCGTATTCAAATAATCGAATGTAATCTAGTTTAACTTAAAAAATTTAGGAATAGTTCAAGGCCACGTATTTTCATGTAGCTTTCGAAAAGCGTTACTTTGCTGTGCTCGTTTTGGAGTAATTAATTTTATAATCCTAACAGATATTTTGAAACTCAGGATTAATTGGTCTTCCACGGACCATTTTGATATTCTCGAAACTTCAGAAATTCAAGAATTTTATTGCTAAAATTCATAACCCGTTCAATTTATTGCTAAGTAAAAATACATGGGTTTGTTTCAGGCATTATGCAGTATACTCAGATTTTTAAGTTTGCTGTACTGTACTTACTGTCTCATCAAATTCCTTTGCTAATATTAGTTGCTTGTTCTATATTCAGTTTCTTGGTCTGTTCACCACTGGTATATCTGCGTGCTTTTATTTAGATACAGTTCGATACGATATGAAAATCATAGTTGAAGAACTTCAGCGTAAAGTAGACATTTCAAATGAAATTACTTTTTAAGTCATAACGTTTGGTTCTACTTTCCTATTAAGGAATCTTTTGAGAAAGGAGCAAAAGCTTGATGCCAGATAGTTTTTTTACTTCCTTTGCTAAGCGGTTATTTTGCTGTTAATATGAGCATAAAAGTGATATAAAATTTAGGAAGAAATGTATTTACTCTCATAATCTGTGAATTTTATAAACACATGATATTTATATCTCACAAGTATTTCATTTACAAATCAGTTTTATCAGTTTTTATTTTCTAAGAAACGCATGTTGTACTGTTTCTAAATTATTTAGATTTTAAAATATTAAAATGTGTTAATTAAATTGTTTTCTTAACTTAAATACCTTAAAGTTGCAAATATTAATATGAAAGTTTCTTTATGAGTTCCAAGTGCCCACTTTAGTCACCAAAATGCAAAAAAAAAAATCTTCGAAACAACTTCTCTTTAAAACTGGCCACAATAGTTACAGTCTTTATGTGACTGACACCAACTTTAAAAAATGCTACTATTGGAAAGGGGACCTTTTTTTTTGTTTGTGTTTGATTTTTGCAAGATATTTACAAAATGCGTGACTCATTGCTAGTCGAACAATTGGTCATAGATGCATGATTCTAATTTCAGAAATAAGCCAAAAGAAGCCTTCTTACTTTGTCAGATAATTTTTAATTTTTGCAATGTGATGACCTTACTGGAAATATGCAAAATTTAAATGCTTATGCGAGCCGTTTTATGAAAAAAGTTCGAATTACTAGTTATACCATATTCTACTATATACGTAAAAGAGGAGAGTCTGTAATATGAAACGCTCACTCGAAGAGAATAAGCCACTGATCTTTAACAGAGTCCGCATAGAGATTAAGGGGTGTTGGAACCCAACTCAAAAAATGGTGAGTTTGTATTTTTGTATTTTCAAGTTCTCTATACTTTTATCTTTCTAAAAATACCATTCTTTAATCTCTATGAATATTAGAACTGAAAACAAATCTAGTTTTAACTTGTCATCGAATGCTTTGATGAATGAGGATTTTTACATAAAACGCGTTTTTCTCCAAACGTGATTTTTTTTACACTCGATGTGCCTTTTCTTTGGAACTACTGCTCATAGGTATCTAAAATTTTTACTGCTTATTTATTAGGTTTCCTAATATTTATTAAAATGAGCTTTTTGTGATAAACTAAGGAAAAAATTTAAAATTTTTTTTCTTAGTTAAAAATTTTGTAAAATTTTTTTGTGTGTGAGAAAAGTGCTAAATTTTACTATGCCTAACAAAATATTCTGTAAATTACTCTAAAATTCAAAATGTTTCAAAAGCTCATTTCAGTATAATCAGATAGGTATACTTACATTACACAAAAAATTTCAAGCGTGTATCTACAGCAGATTTTGAGAAATGGTACATCGAAAATGGCCAATTTAACATTGTCAGTATAGGGTGCTCGTTAAATTACATTACTTAAAATAATTAAATATTAGCGTTTTTACCAATGGACACATTATAAAAACAATGTCGCTGTTTTCATAATTTTTTTGTACTTAAAAAGCTTTTCTTTAGAATATGAATTCTGATATTTATATGCGTAGCTGTCTTCTGCATTGTTTGTGTTCGATGCCAACCTAGTTTTATTTATCATGTTTTCAGATACGTTTAGTCGTATGAAGACATTTCCGTGCAAATTTCGCTAAAGAAAACATTATCCCCCCCCATTGAAAAGACTTTTCCTGCCAGTGGCCATATGAAGTTTTACGCTTCATATATTGAAAAATGTTCACTGATTTAGTAGCTAATGGAAGCTGACTGTTTATCCTAAACCTGAAGTGTGGGTTCGATTTTCGAGTGAGATTCGATTCCCGAGTATGTGGTTTGAAACGAATCTAAAGCGAGGGTTCGATTCGATTCCCTTATGTTCTGTCATATTCATTTCAGCGTTTTCAGAAACGTAATATCAGTCATGAGTGTTGTCTGTGATTAGACGCTTTAATGTTCGGTGAGTTCGTCCATTTCTGAAAAACAGCTAGCATATATGTGTCTGACAGTGTGCAAGAAGTCGTCCTAAGGTCAGAATTGTCACAAGAAGTATAATCCATCCTATTTGATATATTCCTTAATATAAAAAACATTGTTTTAAAAACAAACATTGGTTTATGACAGTCATTCAAATGATATTTACTCCTGCTTTCCCTCTGATGTAGCCTAGGCATTTTTTACTTAATGAAACGCACGTGTTGTAAGCTAATTAAATAACTAGTCTGCAATATGAGATGACCAAATGCTTTAATACGAATACTGAAATACTGACAAATGTAATCATGTTACTCCTTAGTCTGGTATCTGCTACATAGCACTTTCGTAAAGGCTTTCCTGAAGTCTGGACTGAACAGAGTATATATCAGAGGATTGAGGGCAGAATTGGCATACCCCAGCCAAAGAAACAAAGAGAACAGACGAGGACCTGGGTCGCAAGATGGGCAAAGTGCCATCAGTAGAGCTGTTGCGAAGAATGGTGACCAGCAAATGACGAAGACGCCAGTGATGATGGCGAGCGTTTGAGCGGCTTTCCTCTCTCTCTTTGACTCATCCCTCTTTTTCTTTTGTTTTGCTGGCAGCTGAAATTAATAAAAAGATAAAATTATTATACTTTCTTCGTATAGTTAATGTTGCAATAAAGAAGTAAAATATATCATTGCAATATAAAAGTAAAATATTAAATAAACACTATGGATCTTTCTTTGCTTTGTATTTTATTTACTTACGAGTATTTAATGAAAACTTTGAATTTTTCCTAGCATTACTAATACTGTAAAATGTCATCTTACGTATTATCGCAACCCTCTTGGTGGAAATCGCAACATTTTCAGACGTCGCCAAACTCTGGCAACCATGCGCATAACAGTTCTTTAGGTTATCATATCCACTCTAAGTTTGCAGTTCGAAAATTCACAGCCCACCAGCGGCCGAGCGAGAATGTCGCTGAACACTGGTAGTTCGGTCCGAAGTTCAAATTCCGCGAACGGCCTGGGTGCTTGGGCATTTTCGGCATATGTAACATGTATACAAGCCAGTTTCCCATAGAAAGTCCTCCACGAAGGCATCCCTTCCCTTATGCCGATAACCCTGAAGGCTGTGCTATAATCACACAAACCCAAACCGAAAATTCCCCGAATCACCTTTTTCTTCTGTAAAAAACTGCCAAATTACGTCACCATTTTGCACATTCGACGATGGTTCGACGAAAATCATAAACTCATCCATTTCATACGTTTACTTAAATTTAAAACTTACGTGTTTCTGAAACTTAAACAGAATGGTTGGTACTTATGTATTCTCCCGTTGACCGTGAAAGTTGTCTACCATTTAATTATTTGGCTAAGATCCCGCCAAAACTTCGTCAATCATTCTTGCAAAATACTAAGCCGCTTTTATATCTGCAACTCTCACAATGAAACAATAATCTCTCCATAATCTCCCAAATAGCGACTACTGCGAAAGTATTCGATCCGCTTCGTTTTCGAGCTTTTCGTCGATTTTTGGGCCCACCAGGGGCCGAGTGGTAAAGACGCTGAACACTGGTAGTTCGGTCCGAGGTTCGAATCCTGCCAACGGGCTGACTGCATGGGCGTTTTCATGGTTTTCCCCATGTGTAACGTGTATACGAGCCAGTTTTCATTAGAAAGTCCTCCACGAAGGCATTCCTCCCTTTAGGCAGATAGCCCTCGAGTGCTTTGCCATAATTGAATAATACAAATCGTCGATTTCTACTATTTTTTAGGCCCTTCAGTTTTATTGAGAACTCTTGGTGGAAATCGCCAAATTTTCAGAAGTCGTAGAGCCTACTTCCCGAGTGAATCCCAAGTTCCCAAGTGAATTATTCGCCACGAATAATTCACTTGGGAACTTGAGGCTTTTCAGTTTCTGCCACGAATAATTAGGCTATTGTTGCCCTGTCCAGCTTTATGTTTTCCCGTGCAACTTATGTTAATTTTCTGGATGAGCTGCAGACAAACGAGTACAGTCACGAATGTGATTCTACAGCCCTCAAACACATTCCTCTCAAATTGAGGGAGAAAGTACAACCATAACAGTTAATTTATGTACTTTTTCATAAAAATTAAAGGTGGTTGTTTACTTTCACACCACTCATAATTAATTTACATCTATTCATTGCCCTGCGTTGGCAACACGCTTTCGAGTTGTCGTCCTTAGAAGATAGTCGCTAGAATGTGGCTGACCTGCAACTGTTGTAATACGTATTTTTAATTGACTATGTTATCAGTTTATTATTAGATGCTTACGTATGGATATTTAATTATTATACGTTTACAAGTTGATTTGCAAAATTGGGAATACTTGAATTCATGAAAGAAATATCAAATCGAATCGGTCGTTCATATTTCGGCGCCATTTGTTTAATGGCTAGTAAACAGTGGCTGATCGAGAGTCGGATTTACATCAAACGAGGGCGCAGATATTACGAGTGTGCTGTGACGCTACTCTTATCCATAATAATCCATCCATCGCTTTGCTTGGTGACGGTTTCACGTTCGGCGGAATAATATGTAAGTACCTAAATCCTTCGTAAAACGTAGTTATACAAATAAAATAAGGTACAACTCTGGTAAACGCCCTAATTTCACCAAATGTGACGATATGTGTTTTGCGCTGGTTTTTGGCGCGATTGCGTGTTGTGTGGCAACCATGTCGACGTTGAAAAGTCTTTTGGTGGAGTAGTTTCTTAATTGCTAGTTGGTTCGTGTCGCGTGTTTTTGAAATGGCCTGTGTTGCGATGAAAGACAGACGTGGTGGGAAGGTTTCAGCTGCGTATTTTAGATTATGTGCAGAGTAAATTTGGTATGAAAAGGTACGATGTTGGAGTTGTTAACGAGTCTTTTGTTCACGGATGTATTTATGGAGGATCGTAGTGTATTTTTTAGAATTTCTGTGGGAGTCGGGACTTTTAAAACGGAGTTTGAAGTGTCCGAAATGCGGAGCTGATATGGGAACTCGGACGAAAAATGGTGTTTCTGATAGACTTGTGTGGGTTTGCAGTAAAATTGTTGCTAATAAAGTATGTGGGTGTCAGCGGAGTTTAAGGTTTGGATTTTGGTTTTCGTGTAGCAAGTTAACGTTGGAGGAAGTTTTTATTGTTACTTTCGAAATTTTGAATCGTAGGAAGGCATGTGATATAGAAAAATCGTGGAAGTTTTCTTCACAGACGTTGTGTGATCTGAGAAGATAGGGGGGAAAGATATTTCTGCTTTTAAAAGAAGCTTTCATTATGGTAAGTGCATTTTATTTTATTTTATTGTTTTTATTTTGTAGAATGTTATATTCATTGTTTTTGGTATGATTTTCCCTTTTTATTGTTGTTTTTTGAATTGTCTGAAATTTATTTTAATTTATATTCTTGATTTTTTTTAGTGTAGATTGTGCAATTCGTAGATGTTTTTTAAAGTTGAAACAGAACTCTGTGTACATGGTATTCTCTGAAATTTATTGTTGTTATGTTAATTTATTAAAGCGAGGTGTGCGTAATTCGTAGATTCGTTCGTTGCCTACAGTGTGCCATTCGTAGATTCGTTCGTTGTCTACAGTGTGCCATTCGTAGATGTTTGTTTAAGTTAAAACATGTCGCTGTGTACATGGATTCTTGTCAAATATTTTTATCATGTGCAAGCAGCTTATGTGTAAATCAAGCAGCTTATGTGTAACCAATATAAATCATGTGCAAGCAGCTTATGTGTAAGCAGTAATTAATGAGTATCTATTTAACATAATGTGCAAGCAGTATTACATATGCAAGCAGTAACTTATGTGTAAGGTGTAATTTATGAGTATTTATGTATCATACTAGTCTGTAAGCAGTAACTTATGTGTAAGCAGGAACTTATGTATCATCAGTAGGCAGCAATTCATGAGTACGTAGTAATTTATGTACAATGCAACAGAATATGTATGTAATGCAATGGTATAACGCAACTATGCACAATGCAGCTATGTAATATAATCCCTGACTGAAACAGCATGCTGTTTCATACTCCGCACTGAATAACCAAATACGTGTAAACTGTGATCCGAATGTTGCCATATGTACAATGCTATATGTAATAATTTATCATATTAATGTGTAACCAGAATTTTAAGTGCAAGCAGTAACTTATATAAGTAATAATTTATGTGTCATCAGCAGGCAGTAACTTATGTGTAAAGTAGCAGTTACGTATAGTGCAACAGTATATGTGTGTAACGCAACGGTGCATTTCAACTATGTAGTATATTCTTTAACTGGAACAGCATTTTGTTTCATACTCCGCACTGAATAACCCAATATGAGTGAACTACGATCTGAATGTTGCCATATGTACAATGTATTATGCAATTGTGTATCATATTAATGTGTAAGCAGTATTTTTCAGTATTTGTATCATAATAATGTGTAATTATGTATCAAATTAACGTGTAATGTAGCATGTATAATTAATGCACCATATTAATGTAGTCATATTAATGTAAGCAGTATTTCATGTGTAAGCAGTATTTCATGTGTAAGCAGTATTTCATGTGTAAGCAGTAATTTATGTGTAAGCAGTAATTCAGGTACAAGCACAAGCAGTAACTTATGTGTATGCGATAATTTACGAAAAAGCAGAATTTATATGTTATCAGTAGGCAGTAATTTATGAGTAAGTAGTAATTTATGATGAAGTATCGATAAACTCCCGGTGCGCCCTTATGGGGCCACAGGGAGTTGTTGCGTCTGGATAGGGGAGGGTGTGGGACATATGCCTGTTTACCTCTGTTAGACGCCAGGCGTCCCCGTCCTCCGTCACCTGTCGCCTGTCAAATATTTTTGGTTAGAAACTTTACGTTTTTGCTATCTAAATTTTTTGTTTTTGTTTCGGATTTTTAGCTTAAATCGTGTGTTCGAAACGTAGTTTTTGCATGTGCGAAAACTGCGTTTTTGGAGACATTTTAGGCTTAAGGTTCGAAATATAGACAAAAAATTTAGATAGTAATATGGCAGCGTAAAGTTTCTCGCCAAAAATATTTGGCGAGAAATTTGGCGACTTGAGGGCGCATATCAGAGTAATTCCTAAAATAATATTTAGAATATCTTTTTTGCATTTTAAAACATTCAACTTTAATCTGGTATAGATATGCGTACGCATTGTTGTTTCATGTTTGGTGAAAGTATAAACAGTCACGGAACTGGAGTTTATTGTAATAGATAGCACTGGTCTATATTCTTTTATGAAATTTTGAGCAAACAGTAGGTTTCCGAAGGATAACCGGTTGATCTTTACATAATGGTAAATTGGCGTTTTTTTGGCGAAAATTTGGCGACCAGCTCTCCTACAGCAACCCTCTATTTTTTTTTCTCGCCGCCATTTTGTCTTCACGAAGTATAGACATGTTTCTTCTCTTTTTATCTACTGAACACTTCTTCCAACAATCTACTAGCCGAATTACACTTATGCTAGAAATTTTATCTAACAAAACTGCTTAATCATGACAAATATTCACTGCAAAATTGGGAAAAAGTGCACAATACCATACTCCTTACGCGTTTTTCAAAATAACACATACACATAAACCATGTACACGCCGA